AGCAAATACCGCCCCATAACGTGTCTACCTACCATATACAAGACACTAACATCCATTTTGAGAGCGAGAATCACTCGTCACCTGAAATCAAATCAGGTGATGTCGCGCTCAAAATGGATGTAGGGGCGGTGTTCGTGGAACCAAGGAACCACTTCTCATTGACGCGGTCATTGGCAAGGTGGTTAAACGCAACCGTCGGAACCTGTCCGCCGCCTGGATAGACTACAAAAAGGCATTCGACTCGCTGCCTCATACATGGCTTAAGAGGGTCCTCTAGCTGTACAAGGTTGACTGTACAGTTCGAGACTTTCTCGGGCAGTGTATGGGGCAGTGGAGTACGATCCTTTGTCGTCTAAGCCGGTGGATGACGGCTGCGGAGAATCACATAAGGATAAGAAGGGGTATCTTCCAGGGCGATTGTTTGAGTCCAATCTGGTTCTGCCTCTCTCTGAACCCTCTCAATACCTTACTGGGTTCCGGGAAGGGATTACAGCTTCGGAAAGGAAGTACAAAAGTGACCCACCTTTTCTATATGGAGGATCTCAAGTTATTCGCCTCCAGTCGCTCCCGTCTTATGGAATTGCTAAACATCACTTGTGATTTTAGCAATTCTATTGGAATGGAGCTGAGGACGGATAAGTGTGCGATCCTCCATGTCCAAAGGGGAAGGGTAGCTAACTCTGAGAGCATAGACTTATCTATGCCCATCAGCATAAGGACCCTTTCCGAGGCTGAAAATTACCGATACCTGGGTATGTCACGGAACATCAGTGTAGATGAGGCGGGTATGAAATGGCCAGTTTAACCAAAGGGCTTAATAGCCTTTTGTCCGGTGTGAATAAGACGCACGCATATAACGGTTGGATCATGCCTGTTCTCATGTATACCTTTGGCATAGTCAGGTGGACTCAGACCGAACTGAACGCTCTGGACAGAAAAGTCCGCACTATAATGAGGTCCCACAGGATGCATCATCCGAAATCGTCTGTAATGTGGCTGTACTTGCCACGGGATCATGGTGGGCGCGGCTTTTTAAGCCCGCTTACCATGCATAATCGCGAAGTGTGCAGCCTCCGTAATTACTTTTTGTCGAGAGCGGATGACCCATACTATAGTGACGTTATTTCTTATGATAAAGGGCTAACCCTCTATCCTTAGCCAACGAGCAGTGGCAAGACCCGGCAGTACAGAGCATTTCCGACCGGGAGACCGTATGGAAGTAGAAGGAGCTCCATGGGAGGTTCTACAAAGCCCTTCGTAGACACAGTCGCCTCCCTCCACTGGCTACGTTTCGGTGACCTCTTTGGGGAAACTGAGGGTTTTGTCTGTGCAATACAGGATCAGGTTATTAAGACCAACAATTATCGGAAATACATCCTAAAGGATGGTGCGGTCGACATCTGTCGAGCTTGTCGCCATCCCGGTGAGTCACTTAGGCATGTCATCTCCGGTTGTTCGGCGCTTTCTAACTCTGAGTATTTGCACAGACACAACCCAGTAGCCAGGATTCTACATCAGGAGCTCGCTCTGAAATACGGTCTCGTGGATCGGAAACTGCCATATTATAAGTACTTGCCGGAAGCCGTGCTCGAAAATGACCGCGCTAGGCTCTACTGGGACCGACACACACTCACAGACAGGACTATTCTTGGGAATAAGTCTGATATTGTGCTAATGGACAGGGCACATTCAAGGATGTTTTTGGTCGACATTACCGTTCCTTATGACGAGAACCTCGTGAAAGCCGAAACAGATAAGCTGACAAAATATCTGAAACTGGCTCACGAGGTGACCGACATGTGGGGTGGTCTGCCGGCCGAAATAATCCCTGTGGTCGTTTCTGCGAACGGGTTAATCCCAGTCAGCCTCACGGACCGCTCCAAGCTCAAATGCAGAAGGCGGTGCTCCTCGATACCGCCCGCATCGTCCGCCGGTTTCTTTCCCTTTCCCCCTAACCCTCGGCCATTTGGTCTCCCCTACCGAGAGCTTCCATCTGGTTGGATTTTTATATATTTATTTATTTTTTATGTATTTATTCTGTTTTATTGATATTTATGTATGTTTATATCTTTCGTTTACAATTATATATTTAAACAGCTCAACCAGATGAGAAAACTTTATCGATAACCCCAATAATAATAATAATACAAATAAGCATATGAGTCGAACTCATCTACCGTTTACACACACCATGTACAATAACGCAAACACACCACAACAAATTACGAAACTATGTAGCTATTGTAAAAATATTGGGCATAATATTACAGAATGCCATAAAAGAGCTTACAATAACAATTTAATAAATAATCAAGCCCAACGCGCACTTCCTGCGCCTTCTATCCCAGTTAACCATTTAAACTAGCAAGCGACCAACGAGACGAGCAACTCGTTAAAAATCGTTCAGGGTATCACTCACTCACTCAGGATATCGAGAAAATACAAATATAAATTCTAGCAAATCGAATCCTATTTCTCGAAGGCGTCCTCAATCGCCAAACAATCGAGATCACACCACACAAACAAACAATGTACACGATTGAAAAATGCGTCTAGACAAACTAGCGACTTAGTTACTACACATCACTCAGTACTCACAAATTCTAGTTCTCAAACGGAAACCTACGAACAGGGTAGCCAGCCCCAAACCCTTGGTTTTCCAAAGCTTATTATTCCTTCTACATCCACTGACTCTATTATTACTATTTATACTACACCCACTGACTCTTTCAAGACCACTGCACCTACTATATTCACTGATTCTTTCAAGACCACTGCACCTACTATATCCTCTGATTCCATCAAGACCACTGCACCTTCTACATCCACTTCTTCCACTGTTTCCAATAAACCACGTTTGAAATCAAAACCTAAAACTAAAAAGCCTAAATCAAAACTTCCTAAATCTAATAAACGTAATAAAAAATCTTTTGCCATATCCGCCTTAAATGATATACCACCCGATAACCTCTTACACTGCACTTTCCACATAGAAGGCAAACCAGTCACTTTTCTCATAGATACCGAATCAGGGATCTCGGTTATAAAAAAGGATAAAATAAGTTCTGCACCCTTAAATAAATTAAGCATCGTGTCATTCGTAGTCATTTCCGGTTGCCAAAATTCAATTATAACCTCAGGCACCACCGACATATCTCTAGATTATTTACCTAAATATCGTTTCCATATCGCCTCCCTTAACATTAAAGCAGACGGTGTACTAGGTAACGATTTTATGATAAAGAATAATTGCAACATTTACATTCAATCCAAAACTATGAGAATACGTGAAAGATCCTACAAATTACATTATTTGAACGAAAATCTTCAAAATATAATCGACTCTAATAACGAATTCCTTTCTAGCCACTCTGAGAGTGTAATTATGTATAGAACAAGCAATATAAATTCCGGGACAGCAATATCCGAAAAACAAATAATAGATAACAGTATTGTTATTCCCAATGCATTAGTCGGAGTCAAAAACAACTCATTTATTATCGCTTTCGTACATACAAACTAATCCGACAAAGTAATTAGCATTCCAAACATCGAAGTTCTCCCTTACCAACCAAATCAACACACAAACAACATTCAGAACCACTTAATTAACAATCTTAATCACACATCCGACACGGATAGACAAAACCAAGTACTCACCCTTATTAGACCCGAACATTTAAACAAAGAAGAGTCGAACTCATTAGATAAAATTGTTTCCAAATATACCCGACATATTTTTCATCGAAGGCGACTCACTTACATTTAGCAATCATATAAACATCAAATATCTACCACTACTGACATTCCAATTCACACAAAAACCTATCGCTTTCCTCAAGTACACGAACAAGAATTTAAATCACATGTCCAAATGTTAGACCAATACATTATCAGACCTAGCTCATCTCCTTGGTGTAGTCCCATCTGGGTTGTTCCTAAAAAACTAGACGCATCTGGGAAACAGAAATGGCGATTAGTTACAGATTACCACAAGTTAAATGAAGTCACAATAGAAGACAGTTATCCTCTTCCCAACATCACAGACATTCAGACAAATTAGATCATTCTCAATATTTTACCACATTCAGGTTTCATCAGGTCGCCTCAGGTTTTCATCAGTTAGAAGTTGATCAAAAAGATATTCCTAAAACAGCTTTTAGTACTCCATACGGTATTACGAATATAAAAAAATGCCATATGGTCTGAAAAATGCGCCAGCGACGTTTCAGCGTGTAATGGACTCCGTTTTGTGTGGCTTACACAGTGAAAGATGTTTCGTTTACCTCGACGACATAATAGTATTTGCTAGAAGCAAGAGCCTTCAAGAACATGCACAAAAACTTGAAGAAGTTTTCTCTAGACTTAAGAAAAGATGAACTAAAAATCCAACCAGACAAATGTAATTTTCTTAGACGCGAAGTTGCTCCTTGATATCTAGGCGATATCATTTCCAACGGAGGCACTAAGCCGAACCCCGATAAAATACGGTCAGTTCAAGAATGACCTATTCCTAAATCGTGTAAAGATGTAAAAGCATTTCTAGGTCTTACAGGACACTACCGTCGGTTTATTCCTAACTTCAGTAAACTTACTAAACCTTTAACTAGCCTTCTTAAAAAGGACCCTGCTTTCATATGGGGTCAAACCCAACAACAATCCTTCAATGAATGTAAACATCTTTTTACTAACCCTCCAATCTTACAATATCTTAACTTCACAAAGGAATCCATACTAACCACAGACGCTTCGATAAACGCCTTAGGTGCTGTGCTATCGCAAGGCGAAATAGGCAAGGACTTGCTTATAGAATATGCATCTCGAACACTCAATAAAGCTGAATCCAACTATTCCACAATCGAAAGAAAGTTATTAGCTATCGTTTGGGCAGTCAAACAGTTTAGACCCTATTTATTTGGTAGGAAATTTAAAATTGTAACTGACCAAAAACTGCTAACAAGGTTTTTCGCGATAAAAGACCTCTTATTCAAACATAACTAATGCCTTTACTCACATTACAAGATGACTTAACTCGTTTTGTTCAAGCATACCCCATTCAAGTTAAACAAGCAACTACAGTAGCCAAATCCCTTTTTATTTTCTGCCAACATTACGGTGTACCCAAACGTTTCCATTCGGATCAAGGTACAGACTTTCTAAATAGCATGATCAAACAATTGATGAAATTACTAGGATCCAACCACACAGTTAGCACCGCATATCATCCTCAAACTAACGGTTCATTAGAACGATTCCACGCAACATTACGCAATCACATCCGAATGTACCACAAACGTAATCAATCTAATTGGTATCAAATCGTGCCATTTGCCGTTATGTGCCATAACACATCAATTAATCAGTTCACAAAATTTACACCTCATGAATTACTCTTTGGTAAGAACCGCGTTCTCTTTATTCTTTAAATGCAAACGAAGACTACACAACTCATGACTACCTACGAGATTTAAACGAAAGACTCAAAGTATCACGGGACATAGCCCGCCAAAATATAGAGTCAATGAAAGAAAAGGCCAAAAGGAGATAAAGTTATGCTCAAAGTCCCTAATCCAAACAACGTAAATAGACTATGGGACAGGCCTCTTGATAACATAACAATAATGTTAGAATAGCTTTTAATGAAAATCAAAAATCTGGAAAAAACCAAATAGTGCATGCGAATCGCTTAAGACCATCGCATGACTTCATTCAATTATCATAACATTTTATTCTAAGACTAGATCGTAATTATTCATATATATTTAACTTGAAATCTATTTCAGGTTGGCTCAAATAATGGCACACCCTAATAAAACCCTTAGTTTAAGTGAAAATCTTTTATATCTTATAAAAACCCATACATTAATTTTACTATTTGTTTTTTTTTTTAATTATTACTTTACATAATTTTAAACAAAGTTTATCTATTTTCTAAGAATTATTATATAACTAAATTTAAAAGAAGTCAAAACAATTAACTAGGTTTATTTTAATTTTCAGGTACTCCACAACTTTTGTTGATGGGAATACCCACATAAATCCTATTCCTTCTAATTCTGGACTCTATTTCGAAAACAACGGTGAAATATTAATATCTGGAAATTAACGGATATCGCAATTTTGAACCTTTATTCCTAGCTCGCAACTCTATCAAACGATTTATAAATAACTATCAATCTCTTCTTACCACACATTCAAATTTACCTACCGTTATAACTACTACTTCATTTATAAAAACAAACAGACAGAATAGATTCTAGACTCGACGAACTTAATTCTTACACTGACAACAAGCGATCCAAACGCGAAACACTAATCGGCTTAGGTTCAATTTTGAAATGGCTCATTAGTGTTCCAGACGCAAAAGATGCCAAACATTATAACGAATGTATTGAACAGTTAGAGAAACAGCAAATATCCACTAATAATATCTTAAAACAACAATTACAAATTATTTCTTCAACGATCACGAATTTTAATGAAACATTACATAAAATCTCTTGAGATGAATACGTTATTAACGAAGATATTAGAAAAATAAATTCATACTTTACCTCAACAAACAAACTTATATTTAATTTAACTATTCTTGAATCCACCGTTTCAATTCAATTTCTAGAAGCTATAGTTTCTTTGGAACGAGTTATCGATGATGTCATTACAAGCGTACTTTTCTGCCGACTTCCAAAAAGGAGACGGTACTCAACTCGACTGTATGTTTTTCTTATGTGTGTTACCTCATAATTTTTTACTGGGTGAACCGATTTCGATGATACTTTTTTTATTTGCAAGCTGGTACTTCTCGTGTGGTCCCATATTAATTTGATCAAGGTCAGATAAATGGTTTTTGAGTTAATCTTAATAACTTATATTGTCGGCTGTATAAGTCGGTTGTACAAAATTTTTAATTTTAAAATTTTCATTAAATCAAATGTAATACACCCTTCTATAATATCCACTATGCGCCGATACAAAGAATTACTGTCTTCTAATCCCGCTAGGCTCAATAAAAACTTAGTTCCCCCATAGCATTACCTAATTTACACAAAATACTTGAATCTGCCTCTATTACTTCCAATATTTATATGAATAAAATTATACATATCTTAGAATTCCCTTTAGGAAAAAACACAAAATTTACATTATACCATTTATATTCTATCTCTATGCTACATCTCTTCCTTATATTCTACTATCCTTCCCGAACAAACATATTTTGCCATGAGTACCACTAGACAGCAATACGTCATCATGAGCTCACTGGACAAATGCAAAGACTTTGCAACGGAATCCAAAGTCTGCAATGATTTTCTCATCTACAACATCAACACCAGACCCATATGCGAAGTTGTCATCTTAACAACGACGGGTCAATAAGTTCCTGAAGTTTGTGATGTAATTACGTTTTCTGCACACATTAACACTTTCCAAGCTCCTAGAAACAACAACTGGATCTACATACTCCAACGCAAGACTCCGTATGCTTTAGAATGCGACAGCAAAATGACTCACGGCAAAATATCTGGAGCAGTTATCATCACTCTAGAACAAGGATGTAAAATGTACTCAGCGTTTGTTACACTGCTAGCTGAGGACACAAAATCGATCAACATCAGCCATCCTTTTATCTATGTCGATATTGAACACATTTGCGGCACAGATGAAATTAAGCTGCAACAACGAGAACTTGCACCATTCTAGCTCAACAACTTTCAACTCTACTCTCTTAACTCGGTTAGAGAACAAATAAAAACTCACACAAAATTGCTTGAAGATAATAAACCTACATTCTTAGAAAAACATGTAACAAAATTTTCCATATTAAGTACGATTACTGGCATCATTATGCTAACATATTTTTGTTATAAATGTTATACACGCTTGCCATGGAATAACATGCCTACAATCCACATGGTAACTGTATACAAATTTTTAATAATTGCTTTGACCGCTCTCGTCGCCGACAGCACGTCAAGAATCCCATATCATCACTAAACACGACTGCTACAACATCCTGTATATCAGAAAATGAAGACGAAGCTGCTGACTACACTCAAAAATCGAGCAAAACCGCTCAATCTTTGTTCTAAGGGGGGAGGTGTTATGTCATAGATACTATTTACTTTATATTATGTTATAAGTCCTGTATACTTTATATTGTTTATTTACTTAAAAGCTAAATGACTTTCTTAGAAGCCAAACTAATGTTATGACATAACGTACCATTTACTTTATGTTATAAGACCTGTATACTTTATATTGTTTATTTACTTAAAATCTAAATCATATTGTTTACTTTCTTAGAAGCCAAACTAATTAGATTGTTATATTATATATTAATGTTTATAATTTAGCATTCCTAATTGTATCTTAAAATAAGTTAACGTTAACACCAAGAACAATGTTGTTCCCTTATCTTTACCGTCACCTCCTAGCTTCCTACACTGTTTAAACTAAATCTTTCGATCCCCCAACAAGACTGCGCCCTCTCTTCCCCTGCGCCCTCTTTTACCAAAAGAGGGTCGCTTCCGATTTGGCAGAGAGCCCTCAAAGGCCCTTGCCAAGGCGGTGTTTAGTGGGTACACTTAGGGTGGTTAGGTTAGGTTAGTCATAGTGAGTCCCACATAACCACGACAGACCGGCTGTCGTGGTATGCATAAAGCATTCACCGCCTCCTCGTGTTAACGGGGTAGCCCTTTTCAATTGCTTGAGGGCGCAAAAAAAAATCCCTCAACACAATTCCATTCCCAAGTTCTCTGTATCAACTACTATATTTCAAGTTATAAAAGTATTAAATAAATTTATTTTTAAAAGAGTTTTTGTCTCTGCCACATAACACGATGCGGTTACTTATCAATCTTAGAAACTTAGAAATCATTTTCTTCTTGGTATCGTGTAATCTACTTAACAATTTTATATTCATTTTTATATATATTCATTGTACTTTTTGTGAAATAAATTCTCTTGCATTTTATTGTTCAATCAATTCTTTGTCGATTTATTTAACAAGTCAATTTTCAGCAATTCGACAAGCATTTCTAGTAGTTGTGGTTATTATTTATCAAACTCGTGCGTGACCTTGTTTCTTAATATCTAACACTTTTCTTTTGCGTGAAGCCCATCTAGAAACTCTGTTTATTTGCATATTTTGATAAATTCATCTGTAAAATATCAGTTTTGGACTGTCAAGAAATTTTTGGAGTCAGGAAGTTGGCGGTGTTTCACCTCTTTGCCTCAGAAAGCACGTTAAACCGTTCGTCCTGCGCTTGATCTCTCTTAGGTCGTATCAGAGTGCTGTCCCATCGGACATTGACAGTGCCTTCACTCTCATAGTCCGAAATAGAAAGTTAAACTGTGCTAATGCACTATAATATTGTCCCGAGCAGATGACTAGTCTTCTTTGAGACGCCACTCAGCGTACAGCAATATGCAGCGAATAAGTGAATTTTCCGGCAAAGGATTTTTTTGTGCTAATTTGGAACCTTTAACGGTAAATTCTAATTAAAATTAGAGTTTAAGATTTACATAATTGGGTAGATTAATGAAAATCGTATATGTATTCTTGAGAGTAAGAATATGAATAAATATTTTTTTTTTCCTAATTTGGCAACTTCCAATGGATTCTGCCAGCGTCAAGTATTTCATGAGAGTCACACAGAGTATTTACTAGTTTCCGTTTCCGTAGATGCGCTTACTTAACTTTATGTTACGAACTTACTTACCTATGTAGTTATTTTCGAATGAATATGAATAAATAGGGTAGTAGAAATATAAATTAATAGATATTTTATTTTGTGTATGACGTATGGCGTTGTTATGACACATATTAATATACTTTTGAATTGACCAAACTTTATTTTTACTTAACTTTCTTGATTGTATTAGTAAGTCAAAATATTTTATAGACTATTAAGATAATGGAAGTTTACACAAAGAAAGGGAAATTTACTCTTTGATGAAAAAAATACGATTAAGAGTGTGCAAGCATCAATCACTAATAAAAAAACTAGATACGTGGTAGAGCCATGCTGCAGCTATATTAGTAGCACGAATAGGTCGGCTCGACCGGGGAGGGACCACGCTCTCACAGAATACCAGCGTAAAATAGCAGCTTAACACTGCTGTGTTTCGTATGGTGAGTGTGGAGAACCAGAGACCCTTTTTACTGGAAATGAGGCATTCCATCTTAGTCCTCACGGGTGGCAACGCATCTGCATTTCGATTTGTAATCGAGGGTACATGTAGATGTCTATGGGCCGCAGCAACCACTTACCATCAGGTGGATTGTTTGCTCGTTTGTCACCCTTATCCCATAAAACAAAAAACTATCAGAGACAAAAAATGTCCTTACCGAGTGCCCACTCGAACATTTGAGTGTGCTTTTAATTTGTACGTAGCTTTGTGAATACAACTTTAGGACATGCATTTAAGGTTGAATTTACATTAATATATATTTATTTCAACTAGCATTACGTCAAAACAATTTTCGCCAGTTTTCAGAGAACTTTTGCATGGGATTGTGTATCTAGTTTTTATTAGTGATCTATGTGTGCAAGAGATTCGCGTCGAAAACTCTTCGTTTTAGGGTTTCTTCAAGGACAATAAAGCAACGATTTGAGCAAATTATTTGTAGAAAGTAACGGTTTTAGAAAGATGTCTTTATTTAGTGCACTAAAAGACCATAGCGTTTTACGAAAATATGCGTCAGTTATCTTTCCGATCGAATACAATCATTATAATGAGCTAAAATACTTTATTTTCAGAGTTATTTAACGGAATATACAGGTTTATTTCTTATTTTTCAAAGAGTAGCAACAACGTATTCGCCTACCGATCGACACTTACGAATGTGTGCTTGCGCAGTAAATTCAGTTAAAATAATGCATTACCCAAAGACGTATTAAAAAAGATAGACAGGTTACACACTAACATTATTGTATTTTAAAGTGGCGCGGGTAGTTCTATATCTATAGTACAGTTATTTATTATGACACGTTGCGCTAACAAAAAGAGACAAATGATAGGCATACCTATCGTTAGAAAAAGATGAATATACATCATTAGTTGCGTATTGATTGCTGCCGAGCGCTCATTGGCGCGAGCGCGTGTCATACCGATATGGAAAATGAACACACTAGCTAGCGTTAAAGTTTACACCAGCGGTTAGTGTTGAAATAATAAAACCAATTATGAACAAAACATCTATATTCAAAATATTAGTAAAACGTTTTTCTTGTCTCTAACATTTGCCGTGTAATTTGTGCACCACTTAAAAACACAGGAAGGCATTTTTGCCACGAATAATTAGAAGATATACGCGCTGTAGCGAAGGTATAGTCGCGACGCGAGTGCGTGCCCGACTGAATGCGAGTCGGGCAATTACCTTACTTTCTTATTGCCATTTTAGAGCGAGTATAATGTATCTATACCTTTAAAAACATTTTAGGCATTACCACGCATTTTGAATTTAAAATATAAAAAGGACAGAATGTTTGAGATTTTTTTTATTAATTTTACTTGTGAGTTTTTTTTTAAAGTGTGAGAGTGATATCGAAAGAAGAGTGAATGCAGGAAAATGGTGAATGGAGCTTTGCACTCCTTTATGAGCAGTCGGAAGGTGTCTAACAAGGCTCGTTTGGCTGTGCATGAGGGGATGTTGGTTCCGACACTCCTGTACGGAAGTGAAAGTTGGGTATGGCAGAAGAAACATGAAAGCAGAATAAATGCAGTTGAGATGAGAGCGTTAAGAAGTATGTTAGGAGTTAAACTGAGTGACAGGATAAGAAATAGTGAGATTAGGAAACGCTGTGGTCTGAAAGAAGATGTAGTGACAAAAATTGAGAAAGATATGCTGAGATAGTTTGGCCACGTCGAGAGAATGAATGAAGAACGATTGACGAAAAAAGTGTATAAGGCGAGTGTGAATGAAAGGGCTGGAAGGGGTAGACCTAGGCGGACTTTTAAAGACCAAATCAGGGACGTCTTCAAGAGCGTCGTCGTCAAGAGCACCCTAAACCGTTGAGCATGTATGAAGAGAATAATGAAAGTGGACGAAGCGAAACAAGTATGTAAGGATCGTAGCAAGTAGAAAGAAGTGGTCTCTGCCTACGCCTACGGGAAAGAGGCGTGATTATATGTATGTATGTATGTATTTCTCTTCACCATTTTCCTATATTACTTATTGTGAACCTTCTCTGCAAATTTGGCCGGTTATTGCAAAATAACACTGTATTGTCCTGAAATGCAACACAAAGCCTTTATTACGAAAATATTGCGATTTAATATTTAAAAAAAAAACAATACTTTAAAACATTGAGTAATACGTACTAGGTACGTAGATACGTACTATATACTTCAATACCCTTTTTATGATATAATTCAAATAACTTTATCTATAGTCTAAGACCTTATCATAAAACGTTATCTAACTTGAAGGTGTCTTTGATTATTTAAAATATACTAAAAATAAATAAAAGTTAAATGAGATTTGTCGTTTTGCATAGAAACAAGATTTAAAATTAAAAAAGAATACATTCAGAAATGTGTTCTTTATTCGGTATTTTGGACGGAATAGGAAAAGAATTTTGTATGAGACATTTAATACCATTAATACATATAAATAATATTTAACAAAATATCATTGTAAACTTTAATGGTCATTACAGTAAAATTTACATTTAAATCTGCTGGAAATATCAACTACTGAATCTGCTCGCATAGTAATGATCGCACGAAACTATAACTAAAAACGTTTAGGTAATATCAAAATAGTTTTTACAACATTTGATACTAGAATCTTTTCAAATCGTTGTATTTACAAATGTTTTGTCTATAAGGTTTATTATTTAAATATCTAAATGTGTTGTAATGAAGCACTATTGTATCGTTTTATTTTTTAGCTCGGTCCAAATCTTTGACGTCATAGAGCAACATGTTTAGGCGACACAATCCATCGTTACCTTTTATATAATGTGTAATATCATTATGTTATTGAACTGGGTGTTATTATATTATGTTAATGACTTTAATATACAAAACACATTCATACCGTTTAGAAAAATCAATTACGTAAGCTACAAAATGTTCACTA